CTCATCACTAAACTCTTCAACAAGTCTTTGTACGGCATTCGGTCGACAGATAAACAGTTGGATCCGTTTGCCTCCGCGGCCGCAGTCAACGATATTATATTTACTAACAGATAATGACTTCCAATGGACACTACTATCGGACACCAATTGATCACAAAATTGTTTCAAATATTGGTCCAAAAAATTGAGTTTTTGTGGTAAATGTACCGAAAAGTCTCCTTTAGTTTTGCACCCATTTTCACGAGTAATATACGATTTTAGGGCCAACTCTAGTGAAGTCGGACTTCGAGTTTGGGAACAATTGGTCTTTGAGGCAAAAAATGCTGTAAATTTCAAAACAATATCATCGCCTAAACCACTGTTTGTCACACAATTAAACAGAAATCGACTCAAATCGTCGACAAAGTTGTCAATCAGTGAGTCGTTGGCAGACATTATATTTGACACAAAACACAGTTATTTAGAAAATAGTTAATTAAAAAAATATATAGTCTTAAGAAAAACACAAATCTAAGAATTAGTTCACAAATGTACTAAAAGTCTAGCAAATAATCACTCGTGGAATCACTTAAAGAGTTGGTTGAGACCGTCATTAAGTCCCTCGCGATTTCTGGCCACTTCTATGGCCACGAACTGAGCCCTCGGCACGACTATAGTGTTGGCTTCGCTGTAATCCTGGCGACAGTCGAGTCTCAAAAGTGTCGCGAAATTAAAGTCTTCGACAAACTCTTGGATTTCGTTACAGTATTGACGCCATTGTGTCTTCGCTGATGAGGTCGTCAAGAGAGACACAAAACAAATAATTATAAGATAAACATTCAATCATTAAGTGGTAAACGGAGAGAGAGAGCCGCAAACCTTCATCTGATTTGAGTGTCTGTTCGGTCATAGACTTAATGTCCAACTGTGGGAACTGCTGTCTGAATGTGGTGTAGACGTGATCGTCATGTTTGGTGAGTCGCAATGTCTTGAGCGATGGCAACGATGAGATCAGTTTGAAGTAGACCTCCATATGAGTGACGGCTTTGGAGAGCCATAAGCCCTCAATGTTGGGGTCGTTCACAAACTCGTCGGCCGGTCGGCTCAGTACGGATCCAATGCCGACGGACTCTTCAGCGACCGCTGCCGACGCGTCCGCTGTCGAGTCGGAGCTCATGGTATGGACTGTCGGGTCGGCGATGATATCGGGGATCAGTTGGCGATCACTTCACGAGTTATTGATCCAATGCCGACGGACTCTTCAGCGACCGCTGCCGACGCGTCCGCTGTCGAGTCGGAGCTCATGGTATGGACTGTCGGGTCGGCGATGATATCGGGGATCAGTTGGCGATCACTTCACGAGTTATACCATTCAATGCCCAAAACACATGTGTTTTCAACGCAATGCCATCAACAGTGCGTTAAAGCGTATGGCGTTTACATAACCGGTTAACTGCTATACTATGAATGCCAACACATAATTGGTTCGCAAAAATGATTCACTATTGTGTTGTAATGTTGCAAATGATATCACAGTCATTATAAAACGTTACGCACAGAAAATAAAGCTAACATTTTTTACCCCCGCTTATCATAATTGACTACAATTACGGTATTAAAAGTAGTATTAACTTGATTTTAGACTAAATTAAATGTGTTTCAAATGCATATTGGTGTTTAAACTATAGTTTTAATTAGAATTTAAGGCACTTATTGTGTGCATTCAGTTCAACAACTATTTCATGATTTGTTAAGTAATGTTTTCGCAGCCATAGATAGGTATCCTTATTATTAGTTTTAAGTTTATATTTAAGTACAAAGAATTTTGTTTTTGATCTATGTAAAATTTATTTGATAATAAATTTTACAAGATCATATTTTATTCGTCCATTTTTCCAATTGTTAACTTTTTACATTTAAAACCTGTTATGAATAGTAAAGTCTTTTACAATTTAACAAATAATAAGTTTATAAATGTTTAGAATCGCATATTTATACAGATTTTTTGTTTGTTTTATAAATACTTGTATTGATTGTTAGTGTTTAACTCAAAGCCAGTCCTCTCGACATAAATGTTACACAACTCACAGACAATACAATTGAAAGAGTGGGCCATTCGTTGAAGAGTTGTAAGTCAGGAATTAAATGCCATTTCTATTCGTATTTCTCTATTTGAATATCTTATAAATTATATTTATAACTCTTTTTTGTGTATTTATCACATTAATTAAAACATGCAAACTATGCAAGTTTGTATTCTAGCATATTTACCATATTTATT